TCCTCTGCACAGAGTTCTCTGAAGACTTCCTGTCTCACATCTAAAGTCCTTTCCATGCTGAAAAAGTCCTTCTTGAGGGGCTTTCATACCTTACGGGCCATGCCTCACAACAGGCCATGTATTTTATATTGCCACACAGGACATGCCTACATATGTATAACTGAAACAAAATTTCTGTAAATGACCCCTACTTGTAGTATATATAAGGTGTCCTGATGTTTTCCATTTTATTGTTTCTTTTTAAAAAAAATACTAGTTGCAGCTGACAAACTTGATTTCATGACATGTCCATGGGTCATGACTCAGAGTTTGGAGGACATTTCTATGATCTGGTCCTTGCCCTGCCTCTCTGACTTAATCTCCACCACTCCCAGTCCTCCTTGCTTACTGTCCTCCAGTTGCACCTGTGTCCCTGCTCTGCCACAAATATGACATGTTCACTCTTGCTTTAGGGCTTTTGCATTTGCTCTTCTCTCTGCCTAGAACACAGTTTCCCCAGGTTGATGGTCTCATTGCTCATTTCCTTATTTTTTTAAAGATTTTATTTACATATTTGACAGAGAGAGCCAGAGAGCACAAGGGGAGTGAATGGCAGAGCGAGAGGAAGAAGCAGGCTTCCCACTGAGCAGGGAGCCTGACATGGGGCTCGATCCCAGGACCCTGGGATCATGACCCGAGTCCAAGGCAGACACTCAAGCATCTGAGCCCACCCAGGCACCCCTCCTTATTTTTTGTTTTAAAGATTTTATTTATTTATTAGAGAGAGAGAGAGCACACGAGGTGGGGAGGGGCAGAGGATGAGGGAGAAGCAGGCTCCCCACTGAGCAGGGAGCCTCACGTGGGGCTTGATCCCAGGATCCCGGGATTGTGATCCGAGCTGAAGGCAGATGCTTATCCAGCTGAGCCACCCAGGTGCCCCTCACTTCCTTATTTTATATGGGACTCTGCTCAGTTGTTTTCTTATAGGAGACTCCCTGACCCTGCCCCCCATCCTGCCACTATCCATTCTCTTATCCTATGTAACTTTTCAGTGTAGCCCACATATATTGTGTAATAGATTCGACATATATTTACATGTTTATTTGTCTCATTTCATGAGAAGAAGCTTTGTGAAAGTAAGGATTTTGGTTTTTCATTCACTGCTGAACCCACTGAGCCTAGGGCAGTGCTGGCATCATCGTATGTATCCCTTTTTTTATTAGTTGAATGAATGAATAAATGTAATTCATAGACAGATGTGTATTGACCAAACTTTCTAGGAGCAAAGTCCCTAACCTGTCTTATATCTTAAGTTTAAGGTACGGACTTTGGGTCGGAGATACCCCTATAGACTCTGGGAGCAGACCTAATGCCATTTGATCTGGGAATTCTGGGGTCCTGCACACCTTGCACTTAGACTGGAAGGAGAATGTGATCTCGGGGAAAGTCTGGACCTTTGACTCCATAAACTCCTTATCTATGGGGAAGGGCATTGCTCTGGGTGGGCCAGTGAGGGCCCGTCTCACTCAGGTATGATCTTTATATCATCTAGGATTTATATACTAATCAGGTTCTCTCTGGTGGCCTGGGTGCTAATGTTTTAGTGATCTTTTCTATGGGAGCAATAATGGTGGCGTTCAGAGGTCATCATTTCTGCCTGGCATCATGCAGCTGAGTCATACTGGATTTGTGGAAGGACTCAGTGGCAGAGTTTGGTCATGACGGGTTTGGGGTGTGAAATGCCCCAGGGAGGCGTTGTACGATGCTGATGCCTGGACCATAGCAACAGCCATCTTGCTGGTTTACCTACTGTAGTGTCTTTCTACCTGTGTTGCACACTCCTGCTTGGCAATGCCTCTCAATTGAAAAGAGTTAAGTATATTTTGTTTTTACTGTTCAATAAGGTAATGCATGCTCTTATGGATAAAAATTTTCAGTGCTATGGAACTGTATAACATGAGAAAGTAGAAATCTTACGTAATTCTAGCTCTGAAGAGAAACTCTTCCATCAATTTGGTATATATTCTTTTATTTTTTTGCACAGGTACCAACAGATATATGTTTTATACTTGTATTTTTGTTTTTATAAACATTTTTATTTTAGAAAATCACAGCTGTGCAGGCTACTTGTTTTCACTGAGTAAAGTATCATAATCGGTTTCCATGACAGTATTTACTGATCTACCTCATTCTTTTTAATAGCGGGTCATATTCTATATTATGGATCTGCTATATTTGAAGCAGTCATGGATCTTGGTGTCACTTACAACAATACTACCATAAATACCTTTTCATATTTGCACTTCCATATTTGTGTAAGCGTTTCTATGGGACATATTCTGTATGCTGATTATTTTTAGAAAAATACTTCTTTAATTCTGTTACAGCCCAATTTGGAAATCTTCAGTGGCTCTGATCACTTACAGGGTAAAGTCTAGCCCAGTGCTGTCTAATAGAAATATAATATTCAACAAAAGCAATTTAAGATCTTCTAGGGTGCACATTATAAAAGACGAAAAGAAACAGGTGAAAATAATTTTAGTGCTTTTTGTTTAACCAAATGTATCCCAGATATTATATTTTTGGTGTATAATCAATATCAAAACGTAATTACAGAGGGGCACCTGGGTGGCCCAGTTGGTTGAGCATCTGACTCTTGATCTCAGCTCAGGTCTTGATCTCAGGGTTGTGAGTTCAAGCCCCGCATTGGGCACCATGCTGGGCTTAAAAAAAACCCAAAACCAAAAAACATAATTAGAGATATTTTGTGTCCTTTTTTTGTATTAAATCTTTGAAATTTGCTGAGTACTTCACACTTAAAGCACATCTCAAATTGGATTGTTCCACATTTCAAATGTTCAGATGGCCACATGTGGCCAGTGGCTACTGATCGGATAGCACAGATCTAGACTTTTAGCCTGGTACTTAAGAAGCTTTACAGATAAGCCACAGTGAATCAAATAGAGCCAGCTTGCCTCTGTCTCTGACACTCCTGTTTCCCATAAACCTTCAGTGCTTCCTTTTTATTTTTCCTGAATCCTGCCCATCCTTTTGGTAGGGTTTCTCAGCTGTGGCACTGTTGACATTGGGGGCCAGTTAAGTCTCTATTACTGGACTGTTCTATTGGTCCTGAGCCTGTTGATGGTAGCGCCCTTGGTTAGGAATGCCTGCGGTGCTCACTTGGGCACGTCACTTGTGGCAAATTCCATAGAACTGACAGTTCCCCTACCGGGGCTCCTACTTATGGGTGGTCCATCTCTTCAGGTTCTTATTATGACTGCAGAACACACAGTTCAGCAAAAACCATCAGGGATCTCTGAGGATCAGGATTTATTACTCAAAAGTTCTGGAGAGTGCATGACATACCCAAGGGCTGGGCTTGGGTATGGTGAGGTTTCTGGTAGAAAGAGCCAGTGTGCACACACAAGCAATGACCTGAGTCTTATTAGGGTCTGAGGGTGGGATGTCTAGGGTTTTGTGGGCTAACTCTTTATTGGCTAATTTAAAGCAAAAGAGCAGGGATTGGGGCATGCGAAGGAGAAGCAGGGTCACTCGAGCAGGCAGTTATCTAGGTTACCCAGGGCTTTCTGAAAGAGGAACCTTCATGTGTGGGAGCTGTCTAGTTCCTTGTTGGTTGGTTGGTTAGTAGCTGTGTTATACGACTGGCCGTATGTTTATTCAGGATGGATGTCTTTTGTTGTTGTTGTTGTTTTTAAAGATTTTAATTTATTTATTCATGAGAGACAGAGAGAGGCAGAGGCAGAGGGAGAAGCAGGCTCCTTGTGGAGCAGGGAGCCCGATGTGGGCAGGACTCGATCCCAGGACCCTGGGATCATGACCTGAGCCGAGGGCAGATGCTTAACCGACTGAGCCACCCAGGCGTCCTATGGATGGATGTCTTTTGAAATGGATGCCTCAGCAATCAAAAGCTTAAGGTCAGACACTTACACTACAATTAGAAAACTTAGTATCAGGCACTTACACTACTGAGAGACTGTCTTGTACATTGTAGGATGTTTACCTGGCCTCCACCCCACTAGGTGCAAGTGGCACCAAAGATGTCTCCAGACTGAGAACCTCTGCTTTAGCATCAATTGCACATCTCCACTTGATCTAAGAGTTTTTTTTAGCCAACTGGATGAGCCTACTCTGACCTTCCCTTTCTTTGAACTTGACTTATGTCCAGCCAGTGTGGTAAGCATATGTTCCAGGGAAAAAGCCATTTGTGGTCAAGTGTTTGAGAAATGCCGAATCAAAGACCATTCGAGAGATTTCTTTCCTGTGGGACTTTGTCATAGAGTCTAATGTGCCCAATGCTTTATGCATCTCCAAGAGAAGCTAACCCATCTAGCATGTTCCAAACTCATGCTCATTGTAATAGAAATTTGTCATTTTCTGGCTGGGCAGCAACCAACACGTGTCCTCTTAGTGTTGGGTCATTCTATCTATAGTATGTAGATCAGGTTGGAGGCGCTGCAGAGGAAGGCATGGATCTTCCCTCTTCCCTGCCCCTCACAGGCATGCCTAGGTCAGGCTTCGGATGCTTTCCTGTGGAACTTGAGGCTCTGAGTGAGTTGGGGTAACGGCAGTGGTGTTGTCTGCAGCCGCTGCTGTGAAATCTCAGCCAGGCTGTTGCTGATCAATGCTGGCCTTGTGGTTCTAGCTGTGTCTCTGTACTGTTGTCTTTGGTTCCTGTCTGTTGTCTGAGCTTGTTCTTCCACTCTCTTCTCAGTTATCTGGGCTTTTACCATCCTTCCCGTTTTGGTCCAATCCTCAAAGTCAGTTTTCATCATTTTTAACTGAAAGATTCCTGACTGATGTGACCAGTGGGACCAGTTGGAGATGTTGGTTAAACGCATTGATTGCTCTTTGTCCCCATATGTTCGCTTATATTTTCTATAATTCAACTCCCCCAGTTGGTGGCATTACTCCCTGAGCTTTGTCTGGACAGCAGCTACCTATTTCAGGCCACCGTGTTTCTCGCATTCTGTTGCACGGAGCCTGCACACCAGAAAGGCTAAATGCAGAGGCGGTAGGACTTGCACATGGGCGCCTCACTCTACTGAGGGCTCGTGGCTCTCTAGCTGCGTAACTGCTGCTACCACCTGCTGCTGAACCATGGAGGCTGGTGACTGACTGGTGAAGGGCATCCTGGGAACGTGTGGAACAAAAATAGGTAACCTGGGGACTGCACCAAACAGTATATTGATGTCGAATAAGTGACTAGGTTCTCCTAGTGCCTCGATCAACCTACAGACATGAGCTGATGATCGAGAAGGAGAGTAATCGACAGAAATTGATTAGTAAAGAGCAGCGATAGCCGGGAAAGGGCTGATCTCTCAAGGAGGGATGAAGGGTTAGAGAAAGGAGGGAGACCTTAAAATCCCCACGTGATGCTACTGTGTGAAGCCAGGTCCAAGAGCACACGTATCTTGTGATGTGAACCCAGACTCTGTTCCACTGTGATGATGTGTACTGAGAGAATGTTATAATCCGTGTGGCTGTGGACACAAGACATACTGGAAATGACAGCCAAAGGGAAGAGGAGTGTAAGCAGAGAATATTCAAGGTTGGTACCGAAGGAACAAGTGAGCAGGTCATGTTGGCCTTAGGCTTGGTGCCAGAAATCTACGTTGAAGTATTTTAGAGGGTGTAGTAAACTCATCACTCACCTGGACTTGGATTGATATCCTAAAGAATGGTTAGGGATGGAGAATGTATGTGGGATGGGAGTTGGAGATTAGGGTCAGAGTAGCTGTGGGGAGATGTCATAGTTAAGGCTCTGTGAGCAGTGGCAATGTATGCTGTCAAGTTGTTGGTGTCTTTGTTTCTAGACCATCTCTCTGGGTTCTAAGGATTGGGCTTACACGGTAGAATGTTAGAAGAGTTGGCTCGTGTCCACTGGGGGCATGGGTGCCCTAGAGAGCTCACCTGGGGCTTATTGGGTGGAAGAAAACGAATTCTAGTTTCTACCTGTTAGTAAGGATGAAGCTCCCAGTCTTGTGTCTTTGGTTAGGAACTGGACAAGGCTGAATCTGCTCATTTATAGAAGTTGAGTATCTTCTGAGCCTGAATGGATCAGGCATGCACTGACATCCAGGGCTCTTTTTTCTAGCCAAGCTAACCTTTTCCAAGGCTAAGATTGAAAGACTAGACATGATCAAGTTGATATTTCACTGGTTTCAGTGTCTGAGGTAAAAAATAAATGTACTATGATGCAAGGGACGTATTGAGCAACTATTTCTACGCTGGGCACTTGCACATATGGGAATTTGTGGCTGATTCCTGGGAAGTTGCAAATTAGAATTGAAAATAGGAAGAATGACAAGAGAAAACATGGGAAATTTAATCTTTCTTTTCCCAAATTTGGGAGAAAAGAATCTCTAATAACGTATCATAATTTATTTCTCTCCATTAGGAACAAAGGTAAAATCAAAATACAAAATAAACCTCCTTTCACAGAGTTATCGTTTGGTGTTCGTGTTTTAGGTATATTGTGAAGAAGCACGAGAACATCCATGGAAGCATCAATGGACGTGGCAGAAAGACCACGTGGTGGATTTGTAGGGAAGTGATTTGTCTCTACTGAGACATAGGAAAGATAATAATAATAAAAAATTGTGAGAAGAGTATTTGAGAACAGACAGAAGGGCCCGAAAGCCACCCAAATGACCTACTAAGAGACACAATAGGGTATTTTTTCACGGGAGAGTTTTGAGAAAAGAGTATTATCGCCTTCCAATTATGGCTTCATGTCTCTTCTCCCCAAAGGCATGTGTACTTGAAACACCTCTTGGCCCCTGTAAGAGAAGATTCTATGGTACTGATGAGATTGTGTGCATTAGAATCACTTCTCCTGGAAAGGAGATGCTAAAGGGTACTCGAATAAAATATTAAAAATTATGAAGGACATAACAAAGGCCAATCAGTCCTTTCTTTTCCCCAGACCCCATAATATGAGAACAGGGGTTATTTGATGAAATTAAAGAGTAGCAAATTAAGTGCTAATAAAATGAGATAGTCACTTATATAATTCATTACCATGGGAGGTCACAGAGGCAAATTCTGTGGCTGGATTAAATATGGGGCCGGATAATTTTATGACCGCTAATGATATTTTTAACAGTGGAGGCTGATATTGCAAGAAGAGTAATCCTATTACATCCTCCAGGAGGTGGTTCGCAGGGACCTCTGGCAAGTGGTGTCTGAGAAGTGTGAGAGCAGGCCTCGTGGGTTCTAACCTTTGGTGGGGAATTGTACTAAAAATTAGTTTTTAAGGTGGATGCCCTCAGGTATTGTGTTCGTGCTTCAGTCCCAGCTTCTCTTGTGGCGATCCACAAGTTCTTTAATCAGAAGCAGTTGGGGTGCAGAGTTCCATCGTTCCAGGTGAATAAGTTCCAGAGATACAGTGTATAGCACCATGACTATTGTTTTATGTTTGTTTGTTTGTTTGTTTGTTTTTTAAAGATCTTCTTTATTTATTAGGGGGAGAGAGAGAGAGAGGAAGTGAGCCCGGGGAGGAGCAGAGGGAGAGGGACAGGCAGACTCCGTGCTGAGTGCAGAACCTAACTCAGAGCTCGATCCCATGACCCTGAGATCATGACCTGAGCCGAAATCAAGAGTTGGACTCAACCGACTGGGCCATCCAAACACCCGCAATGTGACTATTGTTAACAATACTGTATTGTTTGGTTGAAATCTGCTGATAGAGTAGATCTTAAATGTTCTCAACCCACTCAAAAAAGGAAAAAAAAAAAGGGAAACGTGTGAAATGATAGATACGTTAATTAGCTTCATTGTGGTGATTATTTCACCATGTAGATGTATTTCAAAACATCAAGATGTATATCTTAAACATATACACTTTTTGTCAGTTATACCTCAATAAAGCTGGCGGGGAGGGACGTAAACACTAAAAGTTTTTTTTTAGAAAAAGCAGTTGGGAAAGATATTGCCCAGAATTTGATCATTTCTGGGCTCAGGGAACTATTCATTTTATTTACTGAATGCCACCCACGTGTCAGGCACTTTGCTTGGAGTTTTAAAAATCTGTTGGGACTGAAACATTTTGACAAATTAGTGCATTCAGAATAAGGGGCCTTCACTAAAGGTAGACTATAAAGTTACATTGAGTGCATAGAAGCAAAGGAATAGCTCAACCTGTATGGTTCAGAGGAAGTTCACAGAGAAGGTGGCATTTGAACTAAGTCTTAAAGGTTGGGTGGGAGTTCACTCTGTTGGCAAGATAACAAAGGGCAGAAGGAATAACCAGCATGCGCAGGTCCAGAGACGGAACGTGACATAATTGCCAGTGAACTTCTGGTAGTTTAGAAAGGCTGTACCCCAGGGCTGGAGGGTCAGAAACGGAGAAGAAGGGTCCTATGAGGGCAAGGGGAGCCAGGTGGTGAAGTCTTGGGGTTGCCAGAGGTGTCTCTCCAGTAGTCAGGCTTCCTATGGTGGTCGTGTGGGTGGGGAGTAGAGAGGATGTGGGGAGGGGCATCCAGGAAGGGTCATATGATGGATAAAGGACTGCCCCCCAGAGCCTTGCCCCACCAGCACAGGCTTCCCTCTTTTGGCCACTGTCAACAGTTGCTTGGTGGTGAGCCTTGTATTTCACACAACTCTGCCTCATTGATTGTCTGAAATGATGTTTACCATAAACCTAATCACCATTAACAGTTTTTTTTTTATATATAAAAAAGAATCTCCCCTGCCTTTGGGTGGAGAGGGGTTCTTATAGGTCTTATAAATTAGGATGAGTCTAGTCTTATTTCTTTGGGCTTTACCTAGAACCCATCTTTGGATGGGGAAGAAGAGGCAGATACCATTTGCTTGACCTTAGATTCTGTGATGTTGGCTCAGATGAGCAGGAAACCATACAGTGTCTTGGAGGAGCAGATGGATTGAAATGATAAAACTCTGTTTTGTTAAATGATTTCAGCAAACAAAATAATTTAATTAGGGAAAAAAAAAGCACCCAGACTCTGCTCCTTTTTCAGTGGTATTTAAATAAGCATATCATTATTAATCACTCAGACTCTGACTTGGAATTTCTACAATATTAATATTGATAAGAAGAATCAATTGGAAATGAGAGAGAATGTCTTTTGTAGAAACTCGGTCTTATTTTTGTGGTGGATGCAAATACTGTATTATTATTATTTTTTTTTTTTTTTTTCTCAAAGATCCCATTTATCTATTTGACAGAGAGAGCGAGAGAGCACAAGCAGGGGGAACAGTAGAGGGAGAGGGAGAAGCAGGCTCCCCGCCAAGCAGGGAGCCCGATGCAGGGCTTGATCCCGGGACCCTGAGACCACGACCCGAGCCGGAGGCAGAGGCCCGACCATCCGAGCCACCATTAGTTTGGTTGCATAGTGCAGTATGCAATCAGCGGTTTCCCCCCACGTTATAGAGAACTGTGTTTGGTAGTCTCCTCTTACCTGTGTTCCAAGACCAGCCCCAGGGGATGCCTGAGACTCTGGACAGTACTGGACCCTACCTGTCTATATACTGTATTTTTTCCTATTCATGTACACCTGTGATAAATTTGAATTTATAAATTAGGCACAGTAAGAGATTAACAATAGTAACTAATAATAAAATAGAAGAGTTATAACAATATGGTATAATAAAAGTTACGTGAATGTGATCTCTCTCAGGATATGTTATCGTATTATAGTCACCCTTCTTGTGATGATGCAAGATGGTAAAATGACTGTCTGATGAGAGGAAATCAGGTGATGTAGGCATTGTGACGTAGTGTTAGGCTGCTATGACCCTCTGATGCCTCAGAAGGAGGATCATCTGTTTTTGGACTGCAGTTGACCATGGGTAACTGAAACTGCAGAAAGGAACATCGTGGATAGTTGCGGCGTATTTCCTTTCCCACAGTAGTTTTTTAAGGCTCTTCTAAGAAGGTGCTAGAGGGATATAAAAATGAAGTTAGTTATAGAAGGTAAATGGGTAAGTGCTCAATTTACTGTGAAGACACTGTTGTGATAGAGTGTTGGTGGATAAAACTGAAATACAATTGAGATACACCCTGTGTTTGGTGTTAGTCACTCAAAGATAAGATCGTGACTCACAATATAGTAAGGACAGGAGACCATTTTACCATGACTCCTTGATGAACTAAATCCAAGTTTTATAGTACAGCTGTATCCAGATGTTAGCTCTATCTGGGGATCTGGCAGTGTTTTCACAAAAGCTAAGGTGTAGGCTGGGTTTAAAATAGAAATTACAGTAGTTAACTCAGAGAGATGGAGGGTAGGATCGGGGTAGGGAAGAGCCTTTTAAAACAGAAGCAATAGAGATGTCTCCCAGAATTTTGAACACCTTGGTTTTTGTTTTTTTTTCTTTCCCTTTTTCTAACTTCTGTTCTATCAATGTTGTAACTTCTAATACATTCTGGAAAAGTCCCTTTTGAGGAAAGCATGGGCTATATCATATCATATCATATCATATATCATATCATATCATATCATATCAGCATCTAGTAGATATAAATCTTATCAGTAAGGGGAGTAGTGATTAAGGATTCCTTTAAGCCCCAACATTAATTCACTTAAGTATTTATTAATCATTTGTTGTCCTGGACTGGGCACTTACAAATAAGTCTTTGCTGTCAGAAGTGAGGCATGTGGCACAAGTAATATAACATTTTCCTCCCCTGTTAGACATATCTATGTAATGAATCAATACAAGTTCTTCCAGTTCCAAATGTACTTGATTTCACATGAAGAATGCCTTTTCAGGGCTGGGTTTCTTTCAACAACGTTCTTTATTTGTAATTGTGCAAAAAGGAAGCATAGACTTTAAAAAGAGCTTTGATGCAAAATGATATATCCTTTCAAGGACCACGTAAAATAGGTGAATATATTTAATAAGTGTTCCTCTTTCCCCTTTAGACCTTAGCTGGATCTCCAAAATACAAGTGAATCAACCCGCAGTTCTGAGGCGTGCAGAACAAATCCAGGCTCGCAGAACCGTGAAAAAGGAGTGGCAAGTAAGGTTTCTTCTTGAGCATTCTATTCCTGTAGTTTACAATGCCTGGTCTCTTCCCTCAAGGCCACAATATTGAATTTCACTCAAGATGCATCTAAACTTAAAAGATTGCAGCTGTCCATGACTTTTTTTAATAATTCATATATGATGATGATGGGTTGGAGAAAGATAACACATTTATCCAAACAAGTTAAAAATCTTATCACTCTTGAGTGGCAAAGCTGCAAATGAATTTGAGGCATCTTTATTCATGAGTGAATTAAATGGCATATTTCCTCAACACATTTATTCAGTTCCTTAGACATACCTTCTTTGGTTGTCTTCTATTTTAATTTTTAAACCATAACATTTAAACCTGGTGTGTCTGCTGTTGAGGCCCTTAGGCATAAGAGTTGACCTCCTTTGACCATTGTGTTTACCTTACTATTAATTTTCATAAATCATTTTCCAAAACTCAAAAAGTGATGTTTCATAGGGTACTTGTGGTCAGCATAGCCTTCAGTGTATACTGACCAAAGATATGCTGTGCATCACAGGACTAAAAGGAATTCAGAGTTCACTTCACAAGTGAGGCAAAATAGTGTGATTGAATCCTTTAGGATGACATTTTACATTTTGCTCATCCTTGGAAATATTCCGATTGAAAGATAAAAGGAAATTCATCAGAATGAGTTATGAACCATGAATATTGTTTTAGAAATGGAGTTGGATTAAAGCGAAAAACAACAACAACAACAAAATTAGAGACTCCTTTTTAAAGAGTTTCATCCCAGATCCCAAGGCTGGAGGTAAAATATCAGATAGAAACCCTCTTCTTCCCGGGTTCTGTCATATGGTAGCCATCAGGGGCCCCTAGTGGAGGAGATGGAGAGGTCTGGTGTGGGGAGGCTTGATCTATTAGAGATTTCACTTTGGGATAGCTATGGAAGGAAAAAATAATTTTTTTTTTAAAGATTCTATTTATTTGGGGGGGAGAGAACATGCACGGGGAAAGGGGAGGAGAGAGGGAGAATCTCAAGCAGACTTCGTGCTGAGCCCAGAGCCCAGCGTGGGGCTCAGTCTCACAACCCTGAGATCATGACCTGAGCGGAAATCAAGAGTTGGACGCTTAACTGACTGCACCACCCAGCCACCCGGGAAAAGTAATTTTTAAGGCTGCTTTGTATCCCTCTTTTATTTTGCTCTATGCCGTGTTCATCTTGTTGGTCACTCTTGAGCAATGTTTATATCACATGTCAGAAGGACATGCCTTAGAACAGGGTAGAGGTCAGATTTTAGCACCCACGTTTGTCTAATGATTTTCTACTAACTAACTGGGTTGGAGATGAATTTTTTTTTTTAATCTTGTTTTTACTTTCTTTAAACCAGGCTGCTTGGCTCCTGAAAGCCGTTACCTTTATAGATCTTACTGCACTTTCAGGCGATGACACATCTTCCAACATTCAAAGGCTCTGTTATAAAGCCAAGTATCCAATCCGGGAAGATCTCTTAAAAAGTTTAAATATGCATGATAAAGGTAACATCATTGTGTATAATCTGTCTGTGTTTACCTCTTTACGGTACTAATCACTAAGAGGACTTAAGAGAAGATGTAGTTGCTAAAATGATAACAGCAATAAAATCCATGGTAGAATTGTGTACATAGACAAATAATTGAGATTCTTCTCTGAAAAACAGCAGGGAGAGAATCTGAGTTTCATTTTTAGGTCAGTTCTTTCCATCCTGGATTAAAGTTTCTGGTAGAGAGTTTCTTTATTTTTCTTTCCAGTTCTTCAGTGTGGGAAATTTTCTATCTAGTGACTCTAAAATACTGATTCTCATTCCCTAGCCACACGTGCAAAAGCCAGTCTCATTACTTAATAATCACATCTCATACATAAAGTATTTTCTGTGAGTAAATGAAATACTTTTGAGAATAAAATGCAAATGGGGAATATTGCATGCTCGTATATTAGGTTAAATCTTTTGAAAAAAGTTATATTCACTCTCTTAGTATACATGAAAGAAAGGACTTTCTAAAGTTGCCATAAGTTTAGAATCTTAACATCTTAGGAATGGAGGAGACCTTTGAGAGTTGATCCCCTATTCCTAAACGAGGAAACTGAGGTCTGGAAGGCTAAAGGATGTTTCCAAGACCATGTGTCATGGTACTCACTGGGCTGATTTTAGGAGCCACGTCTTTCGATGGAGGGATGCTTCATGATTCCCGAGGGCCTGTCAGTAATGAATATGCAACCGGAGATGTTGCATTGGCCCAGTGCAGGTATTTTATCCCAAATAATGTGAAGATAATTTATAGACCTAAACAACTCCACAGCTTTTGAAAAATATTTATTATGTGTCTTTTGGGTTGACAGTAAAAACACCACCTATGTATAGGCATTGTTGAAAGTAGCAACTTTATAGGAGTCTATGTTCTTGCTTTGTTTTATAGTGGCTGTTTGATTTTTATTTGATTTTTTTAAATTTAAGAGCTTATTCCTCCAAGTGAGGGCTACAGATCCAGATTGTATTATTTCTTGCAAGAGAGGGAATAAGATCAGTTAAATGTCATTTTGCTATACTACCCTGTCAGGTTCTCATCCACTTTTTTCATCCACGTCTGTTAGCTGTACAAATCTGGATTTTGTTACCTACATGAAATACAATATTCTCATTGAGTCAAGACCATTAAGTTTACCGCTTAGGAATCTTTAAAAAGTGGCATTATATTGACCTCCAAGACCAGTGCATCACAGTTATTTTATTCTGTGTCTTGAACAAGGAGAAAAAGATCCCTATTGTCAAGAACTGGAAGGGAATGTTGGGGAGTCAAAACTTTTTCATTCAGTGCAACGTCACAGAGGAATTATTTCTCCTCTCATTTTGATTTCTGCCAGGGTGGTGGTGTAAATAATTAAAAGCCTGTTGTTCAAATTGAACTTCCCATAAAGCAGGCTGTTAACGATTTCTTTCGTCACAGGCCTTACGACGGCTGCTGTTTGTGTCTACCCCGCGCGGGTGTGTGATGCAGTTAAAGCACTGAAGGCCTCGGGCTGTACCATCCCAGTGGCTTCCGGTAAAATTGTTTTGGCTTTTGCTCTTGTCTCTCAACCTGTTGCCAGTTCTTCAACTCAGACACCTGGGGGTTTTATATACAGTTTTATACTATGATTTTAATTAGCTTTATATATTTAATGATTTCCGTTTACTCATTCTCTCCATATCTGCTTGCCTCCAAAGTAGCAGACCACATTCATTCCCAAGAAAATAGAACCTTATCCCCGTCCTTAAGGAAACTTAACTTGTTTAGGAGGAATAAGCAAGTTTAAACGTCATAATGCAGGATATGTAATGATTTATATGTAAAAGATGACAATAAAGATACGCAGAAGGTACAGTTATAACTCGGAGCAGGGAGTGATTTATTTTGCAGAGGTTGGTGACACTCAAGAGAGTAAGGGAATTCTTCACAGGGAAGATGATAACTGCTGGGGGTCTCAAAGGGGAAGGGGGAGTTGGCGGTGTTGGTGAGATAGGGAATGGCATTTAGACAGAGGAATTAGCCTGTGTGAAGGCACAGAAGCACATTGAGGGAACCAAAAGTGGTTTGTCATTGTTGGATCTGAATTGGGATGAAGTGGGGGGTGGAAGGGGGCTCTCGGAGTTAAAGCTGGGAAGGTAGATCGGGGCCAGATCACATAGGGGAAAATGGCCCGGTGGTGGCATTTGGGCTCTATTCTGGTGTTGGGGAGGATACTGCAGGATTTTCAGCAAAGGCATGTCATGATCTGCTGCATGATGTAGTGAGTTACGCGGGTGGTCGTGGATCCAGTAGAGTGGAGTGACAGGGAGTTAGGGAGACTTATCACAGTCCAAGTGAGAGGTGTGAGGAGTGCCACCCCAAAGCCGGGGAGGTAAAGACAAGAGAGTATGTTCAGGAGTTACTCACTTAAGATAGACTTAACAGGACTGGGCATGAAAGAAAAAAGAGTCTTTAAAACTTCTGTGTAGGTGAGTGTGTGAGTGTATGTGAGTGTGTATGGATGGATAGATATAAAATTAGATTGTACTTTTAGAAGATGTTAAGAGGAATATCTTGGTTCTTTAAAAAAGGAGTCTAAAAAGATGATGATCAAAAGAAACTCATAGTATTGATATACAAGCTATTTGTGAAGATTCCGAAAGTGTTTGGCAGCTACCTTAAATTTTTCATCAGCCTCATTCAATTCAGCTTTTCTTTTATACAACAGGAAACATGCTTTCCTCTAAGATAGCAGACCCAAGGAATTTAATAACATCAAGGAAATACAAAAGGTTATATTTAGTAATGGAAATGGACTTAATGGTGCACGTGTGAAGAATGTTAATGGTTTTTCAGAAGTGTAGTGTATTTTCATTTTTTTTTTTTAATTTGTATTTGGCCTTGCTCTTCCCAACTCACCCCTGCCCCAATTTTGTGGACAATATTAGGTCCTTTTCCTTCCTGCAATCGCTTCCCTTTATTCTCATCTGCTTGGTCTTCATTTTAAGATAGGCTGTGGGAAGAACCTATATTGCAGTTTAGTTGCAGTAGCTATAAATGTGAGTGATTAAATCAAGAATACAGTGGTAACCAACTTAATTAAGAGTAGGATCAATAATTAACCAGTGTCCATCAAGACAGGGCTATAGCTACTATTTTATGACTATCACTCTGAGGATACATATTTTCTTAATTTCTATTTACTTAAAGCCCCCTCATGAGCATCTCTGCAGAAACTTAATTTCAGGTTTTTCAAACTATAAAATACTAATATTCATCCTAACACCAATACTATATGAGATGACATTCTATTTCTTTGCACTTCACTTTGTAAGGTAGGCGTGAAGCTCTTTAATGTCATTAATGCTTTGGTCAAAATGCTGTTTTGTTTTTTTGTATGAAATTCCTTATTGAGATACTTACCAAATGAAATTTGTCTTCCTTCCTTCCTTCCTTCCTTCCTTCCTTCCTTCCTTCCTTCCTTCCTTCCTTCCTCCTTCCCTTTCTCTCTCTCTACTAGTGGCCACTGGCTTCCCATCTGGACAGACTCATTTAAAAACACGATTGGAAGAGATCAGATTGGCTGTGGAAGATGGAGCTACGGAAATCGATGTGGTGATTAACAGGACCTTGGTGCTGACCGGTCAGTGGGAAGGTATGTGCAGGTCCTTATCTAAAAGGGAGACTAAGTTTTACCTGCATGAATCAAATGGTGAGGATTGGAAAAGAGGCAGCATGTTTTGGAAGTCATTGTTCTAGGTTACAAGTTACCAGATTAGAGGGTGAATTTCAGAGAAAACATGGCTGGGATTGCTCATGGCTTGTTCCCCTCATAAATCCTAAGCAGTTGCCTGCATGAACTTTTTAGATCCCTTTGAGTGCTTAGGTGAGTGGTTATTTCTATGCAGTAGATTACTAATTTTTATTCTATTCTCTATTTTATTGCTCAATACGTAAATCACTCTAGGCAAGTCATTTATGCAAAGTTTATTTTAATAGGTGGAGGAAACTTCCCTTTTTTAATCTTAATCTTTGTGGATTTTGAGAATGTGGGATTAGTAATGAGTATGCTAAGTCTGTTTTCACTCCTACTGTTCTTACACATAATTCCTATGGATACTCTTATATTTACCTTTGAGATTCTGATTTACTATCCCACCAATTATGATAAAACATTACCTATTTCAGTAACAAGCTATTGTTTTTATAATTAGATATTAAAAAAATAGATTTGACTTGTGCCTTAAATATATTTTGTATATTAGAGATTGTTGATAGCTAAAATAAGTATAATTTTCTACTTTGAAAATATCATTATAAAAGTAGTTCAACCAAAAATTTTTAATAAAATCATAAGATAAAACCAGAATAATATGTTGTCTCTTTAGATATGTGAATATCAAATACGTGGCATATTTTATTCTAATTACAGAGGTTATACCTGCTCGCTGTTAAAAACAAAAATTCTAACCAGTAATAAAGGAAGTAGATGTTCTACATAATCTTATCCACTAGAAATAGCCTCAGTAACAGTATAATGCACAAGTTTTCAGACTTTTTTGTCTTCATATATACACATGCAACTGACAGACACCCTTTTTAAAAGTTTAAATAAAAAGTAGGATTATACTTAATGTATTTTTTCTTAATCTACTTATTGGACTTGCCAGTATTTCATGGATATCTTTTTTTTTTAATTTTATTTATTTATTTATTTGAGAGAGAGACAGTGAGAGAGAGACAGAAAGCACGAGCAAGGTGAGGAGCAGAGGGAGAAACAGACTCCCTGCTGAGCAGGGAGCCCAATATGGGGCTCGATCCCGGAACTCCGGGATTTTCTTTGTGTGAGAAAATAAAGCCTGGAGGTAGGTATTTCAGGGGTACTGTGGCAGTCCCACAAAGACCTTGGTGACTTACACTACTTTGATATTCCACTTCTAAAGTGTGTGGCTTCTACCCTCATACTTAAGGGCACTCCATTGTCTAAGGTGGCTTCTGACGCTCCCGCCTTTCCACCCATCTCCCAAATAACAGGAAAGAAGGGCTGTCCTATTCTAAAAACCTCCCACAGCATTTTTCCTTCTACCTCCTTGGCTCAGACTGAGTTACGTGGCCATCTTGGCTGCAAGTGAGGCCGGAAAATGTAGTCTTTTAGCTTAGAATATTAACTATGTTCCCATACATTCTTAGTAAGTTAGATGGTGTGCATTTCTGTGCCCAGATGGAAAGGACTAAGGGGAGTTCTAGCACGGAAGGGCAGTGTGCCATAAGGAACTCAATGGGGTCTGACAGTAAAAAGCTTAATAGCAAAGGGCCTTGTGAAACAACAATAACACAAATACTCAAAAAGAAATAGGAAGTCAAAAGGCAGAGCACTGTTAACTGTGGGGTGGGTCACCTCAGAGATTTCAGCAGCTCGAAGAGCGTCACAGTCACTGTGATACCACAGTTCTGAATGATCTAGAAAAAAATGTTAAAGCCATTCCTATTGCCCCATACTCCCAACTATATTCATCAACATTTTTAATCCTTACCCTGTTTAAATTCTTGACTGTTCATAAATATCTTTTTGTGCTTTTGATTTTTGTTCTTTTTTTTTATGGTTCATGTGAGCTTTGGCCAATTGCAATCATTCTTAAAGGGCATATTTTAAATAGCTGTCCCTTATTCCCTATATATTGATTCTTGTTTCCTTCTAGTTACAGATTTCAGTTAGGATTTCAGGCCAGAGTAAGAGGGAAAAAAATGAATATGCATAATGTTGAAAAAAATTTGGAAATAAACTATGTGATTTAGATTAAAAAAAATTATATGCCCTTTATGTCTTTTTTTTTTAAAGATTTTATTTATTTATCTGACAGACACAGCGAGAGCAGGAACACAAGCAGGAAGAGTGAGAGGGGGAGAAGCAGGCCTCCTGCCGAGCTCTGCCAAGCGGGGAGCCCGATGCAGGGCTCGATCCCAGGACCCTGGGATCATGACCTGAGCCGAGGGCAGAAGCTTAATGACTGAGCCACCCAGGCGCCCTGCCCTTGATGTCTTTTATTAAACAGTTGTAGACATAGAAGTATAGTTTCTATTATAACTTGTGCTCTTGTCTCTAGAATACTAATTGGGAAATAAAATATAATAGGAGATGGGTTTTGATGTAATTGTCTGTCCCTTAATGAACTAGGAATGGTTGTTTTTAGGAACTGATTATTTCCTAATAACAGGCATTTATGCAAAATGTAATAACACATCTTTGTCCTAGACCCTACTTTTCTATTAACTTTCTTATGGTGTTAATAACCTCTTGACCCAAAACAAATTGAAAAAGAACATTTAATACTAGAAATTTAATTCTGAATTTAATTCTGAATAGAAACCTGCAATAACTGAAGCCTTTTTTCACTGCGGTATTTTGTCTTAATTTGCCTCAATTTGATTACATATTATATTTTTCAGTGTTATGTTTTCATATTAGCTGTTTACTAAAATATGAGCCTAAAATTGATTTCTTGGAATGTGCTGACAGAAATGTCTATCACGCTAATACACATTCAAATCCAGGTCCCTCTCCTCTGTGCACTGAGGTGTGTAGGGCACTGGTTGAAGCACAAAAGAAAGAATCCTATTTTTAAAGCTGGCCATTCAGAGTGTATCCTAATCATTTCTCATGGCCACAGAGTCCACAGTTTCCAGGATGAACTCAAAGAGGAGACTGGAGGGGGGACTTGTACTCCTCTTGAATTCTCCCTGATGACAGTTTAAAATCTCCGCTCTCCTCAAGCTTCTAATTCTTCTGTTCACCTTGAGGCCCGTTCCCTTTTAGCGGAAGACCTAGCTGCTACTTCTCAGAGAAAACAGACACCATTAGACAGGAACTCCCTCAGGGTCCTTGCAGCAGGGTCTGCCTTCCTTTGTTCCTCCCTTTCTCCTCAGTCCAGTCCCTCCGCTGTGTGGTGGCTCCCATTTCTTCCCGCATTTTCAGAGGCCTTACTCCGTTTGTCGGCCATTTTTTTCTGCTGTGCCTTTAATCTTTGTTTCTACTAGCTCATTCCCATCAGCATCTAAACATATGTAAGCTTTTCTTCTCCATTTAAAAAAAACTCACATGCCAACATTGCCCCTCATCCCCAGCTAAGTCTCCTTTCTGTTCTTCCCTTCGTGGCTAAAGTTCTTAAAAGAGTCATATTTACTTGTTTCTCTTGAATCTGTACTAACCAAGATGCTAATGACCTCTTATTTTCCTGTGTCCAGGGAATATTCTTCAGTTGTTTGTTTAGCTTTACCATTCAGCATTTGAAACAGTGCACTGTCCTCCTTCTGGAAACACTCTCTTGTCATGCTGTCCGTGACCCTAAATTTTTCAGGTTTTCTTCCATGTTTCTGATTACTCCTGCATCCCTGTGTCTTGTTTGCAAGCTCCTCTACCTCCTCTATCGTCCCTGAAGTGTTGGTGGTCCTCAGGTCCTGTCCCAGCAAACTCTCAAATTTGTCCTCAAACTCTGCATACTCTCCCTGTCCTTACCTATTTCAGCCACATTCCCTGTGCTGGAGACTACAAAACCTCTTGAGCACCGGAACTTATATCTGTTGACTCTGGAACTTGTGCTCTGTTTCCCCGCTAAACCATGTTGCTTTTCATGCATCATTTTATAATTTTTTAAAAGATTTTATTTATTTATTTGAGAGAGAGAGTGAGTGAGAGAGAGTTAAGCACAAGCAGGGGGGAGGGGCAGAGGGAGAGGGAGAAGCAGACTCCCTGATGAGCTTGGAGCCTGCTGCAGGGCTGAATCCCAGGACCCCAAGATCATGACCTGAGCTGAATGCAGATGCTTAACCAACTGAGCCACCCAGGAGCCCCTCATGCATCATTTTTACATAAGTAGAACAGTGACTCTTGATCCAGTCAGAGAATCTAGCCATTTTAGAAAGAAATCCATTAAAAGATGATTTGACTTGAACACTTTCTCTTAAATACAGTTTAATTTCAGAACCGTGATATCGGTGACTGCATTATCCTGGAGCACAGTGATGCTGCCTGAGCTGTCGAAATCTCCGAGATGACCCACCCCCTGGCTAACAGTTCAGGCCGCTGTGCCTTTTGACTTCATATACCTTTTTATTCAAACATTTTTGTTATTGTTGTTTCGCCTGGCCCTTTGTTGGTAAGCTTTTTACCACCAGATCCTGATTTGCTCGTTATGGCACCCTGTCCTTCCCTGCCTGTACTTCCCTCAGTCTTTTCTATTCGGGCACAGAAATGGACACCATCTACACCATCTAACTCATCCCTCGGGACTGTAGTTGTAACTGGATAGGGCATATAATATATTGCTGGTTCTCAGAATTCCCTGACAAATGTTTTCAAATTACTTGCCCCCGCTCCTCTTCTCCCAGAAGCTAGCCTTTCCCTCCCTGAGTGTAGGTACTATCAGAACTGGGTGTTGGAGGTGAGGGAAATAGACTCCTGGGCTGCAAAAATTGCTCCAGGTGATTTTGATCTCACCCCCGCCCCCACACCATCCTATAGTCGTAGAGAATCTATGACTTGGAGCATCTGTTTTTTTTTTTTTTTTTTAACATACTCCTTCTTCTTGGTTCCACATAGTTTCGATGCAGGGTACTTGAAGCATTGTTGAATTTATATGTTGGTTAATTAGTACAAAT